CTTTGCCAGCTTGCTTCCAATCTCCAGCCGTTACGAGCTGCTGCACCCAGAGATCTCCAATGCGTCTTTTATCCTTCTCGACGGCCGAATTTAGATTTGACCGGTTTGCAGATATGGTAGTCTGAGAAGCGCTATCGTCGGCAAAGAATTCTTGCAAGCTTCCTTGTTTCCTCGGTGTGCTGATCGGTGATGTATCCTGGGCTAGCTGAGAATTGGAAGTGATGATCTCCGGATGATCATCAAGAAGTTCCCATGCATCTTTGTAGTTCTCATGCTCCAGCTCCCAGTTGAAATGATCAGTGAGATCTCGCTTGATTGCCAAGACACAGTCGTATGGACTTTGAATGAAGACCTTAAGTCCAGCAGTAGCAGCGTTGGGATGAAGTTGCAAATGTCGTTTTCCTGGAACTGAGTTCGAAGCATTGCTGACGCTTGCATCTCCACTACCAGGCGCACTGAGTACACTGGCGCCAGAGCTGAAGATCCGCGCTGCGCTTACACCAGCATCCCACAACCCGCCACCTATTGCCTCGAGTGCACTCCTTTGCGCAGGGGTCATAGCTTTTGGGTGTGGAACATACAGCGTACTTAGATGGTAGTCAGCGGCAGATAGACTCTCATATCTGCTCACAGTCAAAGAGTCCACTTCCACCTCGTCGGAAGTTGCAGCATCAATGAGCTTGAGCTCAGGAGAGAGGCCGTTCGTGCGACGGTGCATTCCTCGCCGTGGAGTGGTCTCATCCGGTGAGATTGGATTGTCGTCATCATCGTGTGTCCGATATGCAAGTACAAGAAGTAAGGAAGGGGTATATAGCGAAATGCCAGAAACAATACAGTCATCGAATCGAAGGCTAGAGAGAAGGTTAGTGAGAAATACATAATAAAGGGTTTTGGAGCTCACAAATTGATGATTTCGGCGCTGCCAACCGATCTCTCGCCGACATCTTTACCTACTCCAGGCCCGCCAGGGTTGATGTGAACAACCCAGGCCGCATCCCCCCACCCAATTATAAGTTTTTCAATCTTCGCACTCTTCTTCTTAGTGCCATGTGTGCCATGTGTGCCGTGTCGAGGTTTGTCTGACCTCTGGTGAGGCAAAGTTGAATCGGTCTTCTCCGCTGCGTTACTACCGTTTAGACTCATATATGAATCCTCGTCGGACTCGAGTGATCTGTCGTCGACCCACTCAAGGCGAGCCTTCCAAACGCCCGCCATGTCCTCCCAGACACGACGATTAGGCTTATCAATGAAGCCGATCCTCTTCCACGCGTAGTCAGAGTCTGCGCTATCCAATTGCACATTACTGCGCATAATGCGAATTCCATGCTCGTTGACCCACGCCACGTACTTCCCGGATAAGGACCATTTGATAACGCTTATGCTTCCTTCTCCCGAGTGCAGTATAATATCTCGTCCCGAGTTTCCACCCAGACCGATCGCTCCAAGCCACCCCTGCGCAGCCGCAGCCGCATGACTCGTATTCGCATTGGAACGCACCCCTGCTTGGCCGCCAATGGTCAGTATGAGCTCTCCAGCTAACCCTCCCGAGAGGTATGACCGGTCAGATTTGTACTCGGGCGAGAGTGCCACAGCTTGAACTGGTCGACCATAATTTCGAAGCGTGACGTCCTTGGGGTCGATTAAGGAGGAAACGCATACATGGCCATCTATTGACGACGTTCCAATATAAATTTGATTTGATGGCGTAGCTGGAACAGGCGTTTGGCGAGGGTTGCGCGGTGAAGAGGCATGGCCGGCGGATATCTGTGGCTGTCTAGCAGGGGTATCTGGTTGCTCAGCGGCTCTGCTAGGCGAGCTTGTAGGGAGGGTAGGTAATGGAGGAGGGAATGGCGACACAGATACGGACGTCACCGAGGCTGACGGATGCGCATTGTAGTTTCGGAGCGGTTGGAAGGCCGGAACAGTCAGAACATGCTGTCTGGGTCAGCATTTGATTCTCTGAAGCATGTGGAAGCTTGGAGGGCTACTCACGATGTTGCCGTTGTGTGTGCCTACGATCTACCTAGAGTTCAGCATATGCGCCATAATGCATGACAGCTCTCGGAGCGTACCATTTTGTCGCCCGCAACCATGAAGGTGCTCGTCGCGTCGCCATTGCGATACACCGGGCCTAGGCTGCTCGTCAGGCGGGTGTACTTGAGCTTCGGCTCCTCATCGGCTTCGTCCTCGTCGTCCTCTTCCTCTTCCTCGGATTCCTGCTCGGCACTGTCCTTGCCATTGCTGGCGGCGCGCTGCTGAACGGCTTCGTCGCGGGCGGCTGCGCTCAGCGCGTCTTCTTCTTTCGACTCCGCAGCCATGCTAGATGCATGGGCTGCGGTATGTATGGAGGGCGCCTACAGAGCTGCCGGGGGCGAGAATGAGGGTGTTGAAGCTTGGGGGGATGATGATGCATTAAGCTGTGACGTCCAATGATCGCCTGCCAAGACTACCTCGGGACTGACATGGATGTGCATGAAGTCTCCTCCGCAGCTTGACATTCCTCACTTTCTTTGCTTGCCAGCACGATGCTCCAACCCATTTTATTCTGGCGATGACTCTTCTCCGATCGAATGCGCTGAAATGCTTAACTCGAAGCTGTGCTCCTGCTGCACGCGCCTCTGTTCTCCGGAGCTCCGATCGCGCACCACATTGCCAATCGTCATGGCAGAACTTTTCCGCCAGATCGTTTTCTTCGACTAGAATTGCGTACAAGAAGATAGACTTGCCCCAGAATCCGGAACAGGAGCCGGAGGCCAATTCGAAAGAGACAGCTCAAAAGTCGGAACGAAAAGGACCACGGAAGAATGCTGGCAAGACTTCGTCGCTTCGGAGGGTAGCTGTAGAGGCCCAGAGGTCACGAGGATTCGTGAAAGGGAAGGGAAACAAGCGTTTTGTGGATCCTGGGGTAGAGACAAAGGTAAGAATATAGCTTCTGGTTGTTGGGCGCATCGAATGTTGACGATTGGAAAGACTGTCACAGCGTATTGCGCCGCCGAAACATACAACATCTCGACCGCTGCCCGGCTCGTCAAGGCTCAAGGATATGACCTCGACCCCTTCCAAACTGGATTGTACCCCCAAGTCATCCACGTGCGGACTACCGACAGGCCATCCGAGGTGAAAGATTACCAGCAAGGGGACATCTTCATCTTTCCCTCTGGGACCGTAGTGACTTGGAATGTACGGGAAAGAGAAGCTTTAAATCTAGTAAACCGAGTGTTGCCGGCTGCAGCAGAGGGATCACACCTTGACCTGCTAGAAACAGAGGATCTTGACTACTTGGAAGATACTACGAGGGAGAGCAGCGAGATCATTGGCGATACCATTATCTTGGGCACAAAAGCTGAGTCTGACGGCGTTGAAACGCAGAAAGAGACCAAGTCGGACGAAGCAGAGGGACACCATGAAGTCGACACAGCTCTTGCAAAGATCGCCTTTTCTTCGGGTCTAGCCAGATCCACCAAGCTGGCAGTGCTGGAAAGTCTGCTTAGCGCCTATCAGCACTCGACTCGACTGATTCCAACAATGCTCGCGAAAGGGGAGAACGTTGGGCTTGGCCGAAAGAATCTTCCATTCACCAGATCGTTCATCCTACGAAAGACTGGGGAGCTATTGAGCATCCGAGCCCAACTAAACCTCTATTCCGAGCTCACCGATTCGATGCCTGACATCTTTTGGGATAGCCGACATGAGCTTGGACTTGGCGAGTATTACGACCAAATGGGCCGTGCCTTGGATGTCGGCGTCCGCATCAAGGTCCTGAACGAAAAGATTGGTTTCGCACAGGAGATTGCGAGTGTTCTCCGAGAATCACTCAGCGAAAAGCACGGTCTCCGGCTAGAGTGGGCCATCATCGCCCTCATTGCTGTCGAAGTAGCTCTAGAATTCTATCGCCATTGGGAGATCTCCCAAGATCGAGACGATCCGAGTAGCACGGAACAACTACTAAGAGAATATTTAAAGAAGGTAAACAAAGAAACTAAGTAGCATGCAAAAGTGTAAGGATACCCCACTCAATCGATAATTGTTCTTCTAAATCTTTATATCACCTCTATTTTCCTCTTTGCTCATGTCTCACTCCTATCCTATGATCGTGTCTAGGGATCTTAAAAAAATAAGGATTCAGATATCTATTCGTAAAAAGGACGCTGCATTTCTCATAATCCCTCTAGACATACGATCAAGAATCCCAATGATAGAGCATACACATTCAGTCACTCAAAATGCCAAAGCCAGAGCCAATCCCAGTATTAGCTATAGAGGTAATTCAAGTGTACGCGAAACCTGTCTCTTGGGGGAAGGATCGGCACAACAATTCGACAGATATACTCCCAAAAGAGTTCTAGATCATGGCTAGCGAGGGATAAATGGACGGTTTATCACAAATAACGCGAAGCCCTCGAAGGTCGACAATCGTCCGACCATCCCGTATCCCAGTTCTCGGGGGGCTCAGATTGGGAGACCCACACTGGAACCAAGGGCAGTAATATCAAGTATAAAGTCCTATGTCTAAGGAAACCCAAGAAGCAGAAGAAGACTTCGCATGGACGTGAACGTGGACATGAAAGGACCTTAGATTCATGGTTAGTGCGGGTAAAGGGCAGACCACCATGGCACTGACTGTTATCCAGGTTTAGGGTTTTTATTTCTCAAGTGGGGTTCGAAAAAGGATAACCTGGCTACGGTATTCTTACCTTGACTCTGTGTTTTACGAGTAGCGCTACGATTGTGACGCAACATCGAGCAAAGGTAGCTTCTTCGGATGATTTGGCGAATAGGTTAGGACTCTCTCTATATATGTAGAATAGCAGCCAAATTCCAAACCCTCACACAAACCCGCAATGAACATCCCTTGTATTTGTTCTAGTTATCTATCTAAACGAGCAGAAAACGGACAACGAGTACATCCAACCTTTCCTTGAGTCACACGCAGTTCATCCAGTCCATCGCAAATGCAAAAAGCGCTACCCAAAAATGTGAAAAAAAAAAAAAATCTCTCATGTCCCCTGCCAGACTCGAACTGGCGGCCTTGGGATTCCCCGCTGTAAAACAGCAGTCATAGTACGGTGGCCTATGAGACCCACGTGATAACCAACTACACCAAGGAGACTTTTTTTCTCTTTTCTACGAATCGAAATTTTGAGATTGTGATTGGAGTGTGGTTCACGGATTTGAGGGTATATATATGGTTGTGAGTTTGAGGGATGGGAGTTAGGAGGGTGGGGAGGGGGATTTGAGGGGCGGGGCGGGTGGAGTTTTGTGGTGGTGTTTGGTCTGCGGGTTGGTGGGCGGGTCGTTGGGTGGAGGGGTTTTATTTCGGCATGTGTGATTGGCTTGGGGATGGGCTTTTCAGATAGGGGGTGCTGGGCAATTTGATTGGCTGGGATGTCATGTACTCACTTAGTGAGGCGATATCCACGTTTACTACCTGGATGGGCAAAGGCAAGAGTTGGTATAGCGAGTTTGATCCAGCGAGTGCAGTATAAGTTATACATATATACACATATATAAGAGTATAGAGAAGCAGCCCCATGGAACTTTTGACGCCAGTGCTTATGCAATGCCCAGAAACGCCGCTCTAGTTCAATAGACCAAACATCTCCCACCTTCCAAAAGAGTACGCTTATCCAGTACGCTTGTTCCACCCTGCTATTGATAACAATGCGCCGTGCAACTCCGATCCATGCGCAATTATTACCCAAGTACTACAACTTCAATCCACACAATCTACAACCTATGGCCCAAGCCGCACCCCAGCTTCGGGACTCTTCGGTCCCGCCGCTGTGGTAGGTAGGACGCCATACCGACCATATGTCTTCTGGTCCACTGAAACGTAGTGTGGGAGGCGGCCGAGGAGGTTGAGTTTGGTTTCAATCCAGCGCAGAATCTTCTCATGTGGGACGAGGAATTTGATATAGCCGGATGCCCCTTGTGGCAAATTAGCAGATGTTGTGGAGGGGGTCTGAGGAGGGGGATTTACAGAGATATCCAATGCCGGCGCCGCACAGATGCCCGATTAGGCTCACGTTGGGGACGAGGAAGCTTGTTATTAGGACGAGAATTAGGGGTGTTGTCCAGGTGGGAATTTTATAGGGGCCGATGCTGGGTTGTGTTAGATGGAAGACTAGATGGTACGGAGGATCGTACCTGAAGTTCGGATTCGTCTTGTGCGTCTTCATGGCCTCCGCGGACAGAAGTAGGAACACCCAAATGCTGCTCTCTATTAGTACTTCTTCCTGCTGGTCCCAGATGTGTCGCGTACCTTGCGCCCATGACAACCGTGTTACTCCGAAACACATACTTTTCCAATAGTACGAATATGCCTCCTGGTAGTGTTCCAAAGGCTGCTCTTCTGTCAGCTCCGATCCGAGTCTCTAGGGACGCTCGAGGTATGTCTTACGCCCAGTGAACAATGCTAGTGTGACCAAGGTCCCGAATTCGGCTTCGAAGCGTTCGAGGAGAGGTGTGAGGGCAATAATGTTGAACATCAGGTGCAGCCAGTTCAGGTGCATTAGGGGGAATGCGTTCAGGCGGTGCACTGCGGGAAAACAGACTGTCAGCGGTGGGTTCGTGACGATCTCAAAAAATAGAACAAAGGTAGAAAGACCGCTGATTGAAAGCTGCGCCCGGGCCATCCCTCGACTTGAAAGTTCGTCATCGCCTCTCCTCCGCTTCACAGGGGAACAAGCCCACGACCTCCTTGCCCTCCAGAGCTGTCCACCTCTTGAAATACGCCCTCCGTTTACCACAGCCGCCCAAAAGAACAAGAAACCTACTCTGCGTAAAATCCATCTTATCCGGCTCGAGACTGGCCCAATCCCTCAACCACGGGAGCGGAATCGCAGCAACCCATAGTGCCACGCAAATGGCAAGAAGCAGGCGCGTACACAGTGGCAGTCTGAGGACGTAGGAGCGGAGCCGCAGGGGATTCAGCTGCGGAAACGACGGCATGGCGACGTGCGGGGGTTGCGGTGCGGGAATGTAAAGGTGGCTTTGGGTGTTGGCTTCGGCGCGCGACTTTTCGCGATGCAGGTCTGACGGATGGGATGGCCGGGATCTATGGAGGGCGCTAGGGGCGGGCGGCGATCCCGTCCCCCGATGACCATGGCCAGGCACAGAGCCGCGACACCACAACAGCTTTGATGCGGTAGCTGGGCATTATGGCTCTGATATGTGAGTTCTCCGAGGATTCGAGCTCGTAGACGCGGTGCTGATTGCAGTGACAGCCACGATATTGGCGCTCCGGAAAGATGCCCGCATCCTCAAGCTCCCCCCCTACCTGTCTGCACTCTGCATTCTTGTCGGCGTCGTCTGGCTGCTTGTCCTCCCGCTGAACGAATACTCCCGGAACACATACGTGTCGGAGAATGCGCTGCTGCCCGGCCAGGTCCATACATACTTTACAGGCAGCGAGCACAACATCTTCCGGGCGTACAGACATGAAGTTGCGGCGCTGGCGGACAAGTCGGTGCCAGAGTAAGATGCTGCTTCCAATTGTGTGCAAAGAGACGTGCTAATAGAAGTTGCAGCCGGAACCAGCGCCTCAGCGAGATCCTCCGCTCCTCGAACCTCAAAGTCGCAACCCAGAAGTACTCGTACGCAACCTCGGGCCGCAACATCTCGAATGAAAACGTATACGCCATTCTCCAGGGCCCGCGCGCCGACGCCACCGAAGCCATCGTCCTGATCGCAGCGTGGACGAACATGGACGGGGAAATCAACCACTCGGGCGTCGCGCTCGTGCTGACTCTCGCCCGCTACTTCAAGAGATGGAGTCTGTGGTCCAAGGACATCATATTTCTAATTTCGGGGGACAGCACGTCTGGGCCGCAGGCTTGGGTCGATGCGTACCATGATTCGCACTCGCCCGACACCATCGAGCCTCTTTCTATCAAAAGCGGAGCGTTGCAGGGCGCAATTGCCATCGACTACCCCGCAGGACCCTGGGGGCATAGATATGACAAACTGCACGTTGTCTACGACGGCGTGAACGGCCAGCTCCCGAACCTCGACCTTTTCAACACGGCTGTGTCCGTGGCCTCGGGTCAAATGGGAATAGGCTGCACGCTGCAACGCATGTGGAAGCACGACGACTCGTACAAAGAGCGTCTGCAGACCATGCTGAGGGGCATGATTTCCCAGGGGTTAGGCCACGCCTCAGGACCACACAGCTCCTTTATCCCGTACCATGTCGACGCCATCACACTCCAAACCGTGGGCGATGGCTGGCATGACGAGATGAGCTTAGGACGGACCGTGGAAAGCTTGTTCCGGAGTCTGAACAATTTACTCGAACATCTGCACCAGAGTTTCTTTTTCTACCTGCTTCTGCAGGCCAACCGCTTCGTCAGCATCGGGACGTACCTCCCGAGCGCAATGCTTATCGCAGTAAACTTCAGCATCACGTCGATTGCACTGTGGGTCGCGAGCGGCCGCGCCGGGAAGCTTCCGAATCCCGCATCCACAGCACCGCCCTCAACGCCAGGGGAAAAATCAACCTCAAGCCCCTCAAAAACAACCCCCATGACGCTCGCCGAAAAAGACGGCGCCCTCGCACTCATACCGACCGAACTCCTCCAAACCACCGAACGCGCGCTCTTCCTCCCCCTCGCCTTCGTCCTCGCAACGCACTTCCTCGGCCTCCTCCCCCTCTACATCTTCAACAACACGCCGTCCACCTACCTTTCCCCCGTCTTCAACCTCGTGGCACTCCTCACCTCCCTCCTCCCCTTCCTCACATCCTTCGGCCTGAAACAGTTCTCACGGCCCACGGCGCAGGAAACCACCCTCATACAATGTTTCTCGCTACTCCTACTCGGCATGTTCCTCGCCGCGCTGGCGACACTGAATTTTTCCCTCTCCTTCCTCATCGGCATCGCCACGTCCCCGCTCACTTTCGTGCGGCGCTCGAATAACAAAGCCATCAGCGCCGTAGCGAGTCTGCTGCTCGCGGTCCTAAATCCCGTCGTCGTCATCCGGGCCGCGACCTTCTTCTTCGGTCAAGATCTCGTAAAGGTGCTGGTGCAGGCGGCAGAGGGCTGGCATGTTTGGGGGCTGTGGACCCAGGTTGTAGTCTGGCTTGTTTGGTGGCCGGCGTGGTTTGCGGGGAGCGTGGTCGCTTCGGAGGGGCTGTTTGCTTGAATATGGAAAGGGGGGACGCGGGAGACGTGATTGAATGTACTATACCATATGGATTTCTCAAAAGCATGGGCAGCGAAGTAGGATGAACATTTTCTTTTTGGAAATTTGTTTTTGATTTGTTGAAGTCGTGACGCCGTTTAGCTATTTATTGCAGCTTGGGCTTGCCAGAATTCATGATTACATCTCTCATGCTTGGGGCTCTCTCTGTCTTGGCTCCGCATGCCGCAAGTCGCTAGCGGCAGGGAGCCTCAACGAAAGCCTCCATCTATAGTATGCTACTCTCATTTTTCTAGCCTAGCACCTACGCAGCCCAGACATCCTTCCCAACCCCCTCGATCCAGTTCCCAAGCTGGTTCACACTCGAATCCCACTCCCTCAATCTACCCCTCATGCTCTCAATCTGCTTCATATCCAGCACCTTCGGCTGCACCCAGTTGATCCGCGCAATCTCCGCGACCTGGTCAATCGTGCCCCTCAACAGCCCCAAACTCAGCGCCTTCATAATCAGGTGCTCGATTTCATTCGACTGGACCTTTGTCTCTTCGGAGATGGTGGCGAATGTCATGGCGCGGTCGTGCGGCGGGCGGCGGAACACGGTTTCGGTGAGTGCAGAAAGCGAGATCTTCTGGTACAGGAAGGTTTGGTGTTCCTTGAGCAGCGGGACTTTGGAGATGTTGCCGGCGAGCACGTCGTATGCGATGAGGTCGCCGCGGTTGAATGCGAATAAGAGCTCGCGCAACCATGCATGAGGGGTCTTGTCCAGCGAGTCGAGGATCGGATGAAGTAGTAGCTCGCCGAAGTTGTAGATGGAGTCGGAGACTAACGCGGCGATGCTGAGGTCGTAGGCACGAGATTGGCGCTCGCGCAGATCGAGGTCGGCGAGATCGATGCAGGCGAGGAAGAGGAGGGCGTTTTTGTAGTATGCGGCAAACTCGTGCTTGGCCTATAACCATTAGCAGAATACTCTGA